TGTACACGTAGAAATTTTGGAAATGGTGTGTCTTTGGCTATGTATATTTTCAGCAAAAAAGAAAAAAGGTCCTCCAAGGTCGAGAAGGGAGAGCGTTGACATGTGGGTTTGGTGACCGATGTCATAAAACAATATGCGTACTGACTGTGTAATAAGAACTAAACTAATCTTCCTACATTTCCCACCCTTTTTGAATGAGTTCCTTGAGGGCAGGAACTGTGTTTCCTGTGCAAAGAAGAAATGCATGTCACTGAGCTGTGAGGCTGGAGTGTTGGATGAGACATCTCCATGAGCACTCATGTTTCCCAGGATGCTGGCAGCACTCCGGCGGCAGGGAGGAGAGTGCCTCAGTGAATGTGGCTGAGTGACTTGGCAATCAGCTTCAGTAGTGCACTACGTGTGTACACTGAGTGAGTACACCTGTGCTCACTGAGTGCACGGCTTTCCATGGTGTTATGGTTTACAGTCTTACTTGGAAAGAGGAGGGCCAAGTTTGGGATGGTGGGAAACTGGCAGACTGCTGACCCTACTTTTCATACCCTGCTTGCAGGTGAGGGAGAATGATCAGCATCCACCAAGTGGCTAGAAGATTTCAAACACCATCTATATGCTGTATGCTGAGGAGTCTCACATTTATGTCCCCAGCCTGGACCTCTTCTCTGAGCTCCAGATTCACATTTATATCACTACACTTCTACTCTGTTATTTCCAGACATCTCTACTGGGGTGTCTAACAGGCAAGTCAAACTTAAATAGAACTATTAATTTTTCTACCCAAATATACTTCCTCATCTTAGTAAATGGCACCACCAGTTGCTCAGGCCAAAAACTTGGTAGTCATTCTTCATTCTTCTTTCCCTCATTCTCCACATCCAATTTCTTAAGTCAGTTTTATTGGTCTTGCCCAAAGGTATATCCCAAATGTGAACACTTCTCACCGTCTCCACTGCTGGCACCTAATCCAAGCACTCGGATCTCTTACTTAGATTTCTACAATAGTTTCCTAACTGCTGTCCTACCTCTAGAGCCCTAGTGATGCAGTGCTTAAGGGCTCCGCTGTTAACCAAAAGGTCAGCAGTTCAAATCTACCAGCTGCTCCTTGGAAACCCTATGGGGCAGTTCTACTCTGTCCTATAGGATCACTCACTATGAGTCAGAATTGACTTGATGGCAACAGGTTCGGTTTGGCTTTGGGTCCTACCTCTACCCTTGCCCAATATATATAGTTCATCTTCCAGAACATGAATCAAATCACATTCCTCCTTTCCTTAATATACGCAATACCTTCTTTTTTGCTCTTAGAAGAAACCCCAAACTTCTTACCCTTGCCTAAAGTTAAGGCTGGTAGTCAACTGGTGGGGACCAGTTTATTTACAACTGGCATCTGTTCTGATTAGTCAGTGTCCACGCTGCACAGCTTGTTAAATTTACTTTCAGTATCACTCCTGCCTATGAGGTATGCTCCATTTACACTGGCTTTTTCTTTGTCTCAGGAAGACATCATGCTTGTTCCCATCTAAGGGCCTTTGAACTTGCTGTCCCCTCAGCTTAGACGCCCTTCCCTGATATCTTTGTAAGTTATATCCTCAACTGAAATGTCTTGTCAGAAAAGCTGTCCTTGACTCTAACTCTATTATTTAAAGCTGTGCTGTTCAACAGTCACCACTGGTCAAATGTGTCTTTTTAAATTTAAATTAGTTTAAATTAAATAAAATTAAAAATTCAGTTTCTCAGTTACACTAGCTATGTTTCAAGTGCTCAAGAGCCACATATGGCTAGTGACTATCCTATTGGACAGCACAGATATAGAACATTTCTATCATCATAAAACCAAACCCACTGCCGTCAAGTTGATTCCAACTCATAGAGACACTGTAGGACAGAGTAGAACTGCCCCATAGTATTTCTAAGGTTGTAAATCTTTATGGAAGCAACTGCCACATCTTTCTCCTGCGGAGCAGTTGGTGGTTTCGAACCGCTGTCCTTTTTGTTAGCTGCTGAGAGCTTAACCACTGCACCACCAGGGCTTCTTTTCTATCATAGAAAATTCTATTGGACAGTGCTGGTCTAAAGCAACATCCCATCCTAGATGCCCTCTATAACTTTACCCTAAATTACCATCTTTCTAAAAGTTAACAGTCTATGAAAATAACTTATCTGCCTCTTCCTATTAGCATAGAACCTTTTCAAGGCAGGGACTCTGTCTTGCTCACTTATGTACCTCAAACACTTAAAACAATGCCTGGCATGTGGTAGGCATTCAATAGATGTTTGTTAGGCTGACTAGTTTTTAGGATTAGATATTGCCAAGGAAATAATAGAGTGGAAGTGTAGGAAATGTTCTATGAGGAGGCTAAGATGGGATTATGTTTTCCAACAATGGAAACAATGCAAAGAACAGAAAGTCCATGATGGAAGAAGGATGCATGAGTGGGGATGAAAGTGGGGAAAGGGTGAGTGACCTGAGGAGTCTAACCTTCAGAAGGCAACTATGGAGGAGTTCTAGAGGGCTGATGGGGGTTAGGAATTAAGATGGTTGTAAATCACTGGTCAGAATTCCAAATGAATTGGTCTTTAGTACAGTTTCTGACCAGGCGTGAGTGCATAGGTCAAGGACCTTGACGACATTAAAGCTATTTCAGGTTGTCTGGTGATATGACAGGAAGCTCTGGATATCAGGATGAGGAGTTTTGTATTTCGTTTGGTTAAATAAACCTTTGGTTAAACATGAAACCCTGGTGGCATAGTGGTTAAGAGCTATGGCTGCTAACCAAAAGGCTGGCAGTTCAAATCCACCAGGTGCTCCTTAAAAACTCTATGGGGCAGTTCTACTCTGTTCTATAGGGTCGCTATGAGTTGGAATCGACTTTCCGGCAATAGTTTTTTTTCTTTTTGGGTTAAACAATGAGCAAGGGTGTAGTCAGAACTTTGTTTTCTTTATTTAGTTAGTTGGTTTTTCTAACAAATCTAAAAACTATCAAAAACTATTTTGAAAACAGAGAAAATCTGTATAGGCAATCATAAATTACAGTTGAGCAGAAATACCACTAAAAAGCAGACTTGGAAAACTAGCCTACATGTTATAGAACAGTGGCAAAATACCGTCAGGATATGTGATTCCTATCTCTCTTGATGAATGTTCTGACATTTCATTGCTCGTCCATTTAGCAATTAAAGCTTAATATATTTTGTGGTTTAATACAGTTTAATGATTTTGCTATAGACTTATTATTAGGAAACTCTTCATTATAATGAATTTTTTCTTGTCAGAATCGAGAAATCAATGTCTGCTTGTATTACTACAGTCCATAAAAGAAAGTCCAAATATGCACAGCATTGATAACAATATGATGCATAATTTTCCATACTTTAAAACTTAATGGGTAAACTTAATCTTACTTGTACTTTCACATTTTCTATTACAGTCAATGACTATTAGAGATCTTAATTTATATTGATGTTACTATTGCTCCATTCATGGCAATAAAATTGTTCATGAGAGTTAAAAACAAAATTGGCATCAGAGTTGAAACCTATTTGTCTTCCCTGGTCCATGGAAGGGAAATAACAATCAGGCCCTAAACATATTCTATTTCTTTTTTTTAAATTTTAATTTATTTTTTGAATATGTTGTATTTGCACATGTACAAAATGCAAAAGGTTCAGAAGAGTATACAATGGAAAGTCTTTCTCCTACTCCTGTCTTCCTTACAATTCTCCACCCCCAGGAGTCAACCACTGTGGCCAATTTCTTGTATACCCTTCCAGAAGCACTTTATACTGTATATATACAAGCAAATACATACATACAGGTAGTCCCCAACTGATGACGTATTCGTGTTAGCAATGAACCGCACTTATGACCATCTGTTTCGGGTTTTTTTTTGTACATCTTATCATTAGTAATGTGTACTACGTAAGTTTATATGCAATGCTTCCAACCCCCAAAGACAAATAAAGATTGGATTTATAAAGATACTGATAATAAAAGGCAATACTAATGAAAAGTAAAAGAAAAAAATGAGGTATTCGACTTAACGTCAGAACCGACTTACGACGGAGTCATCAGAAGGAATGCCATCATAAGTCAGACTACCTGTATTACATATGCTATTTGAGTTAATCCTCCCAACAAGCTTTAAATTAGGTATTATAATTTCCATGTTGCAGATGAAGAAGTCAAGGCTCAAGAGAAGTTCATTAGTTTGCCCCAAGGTCATGGAGCTAGTGCTGGAGCTGGGATTTAAACACAAGAGCTTCTGACTCCAGAGTCTGGGCTTGTTTTACCATATCATACCATCTTTCCTGTATCAGCTTGCTACATTATGGAAAAGAACAAAGTCCTGTCTAAGAGACACAGGTCCAAAATTCAGAAGCTCAGTTATGTATCTTTAAAAGTTAAGGTGCAGAACTGCCTTGGAACAGGCATGATAGGAGGAGGGAGGGTTAGTTAGGGGGCAATAGCCAACAAGAAGTATAAGGGCCTGGTGGCAACAGAAATGGAAAGGGAGGGCATGGATATTGAAAAAGCTGATTCCTTTGGCCTGGGAAGTGATTAGACAAAGATCAGGGAAGGAGAATCAAAGGTGCTGCTTTGGTTGTGACCAAGTGAGTGAGGGAGTGGTGGTGCCCTCAGCAGAAATTGGAAAGTCAAGGGCAGGCTTTGAACTGGAGAGTGAGTTTAGCTACAGACATTAAGCTGCAGGCACTAGCGGACATCCTCGTGGAGAGTTTCAGTAGGCAGGCTGAGATGTGGGTCTGGATGGCGGGGGTGGGGCAAGGATAGGGTGGAGGTTGGACTTAAGAGTCGTAGGCAAAAGAATCATTAGCCAAAGCGGGGAGGAAAGAGATCTCTAAAGAGCAGAAGGAGACAGGAGGAAGGCTTAGGGACATGAGGAGGGAGTGAAGGGCATCGAGATGGGAGAGGTGAGGGAACGCCAAGATGGTATGGAGCCATGAAAGTCCAGGAAAGAAGAGCGTTACATGGAGCAGGAGGGAAGCCTCCTGACAGTGTCAGATACCAGAGAGGTCAAGGAGTATAAGGCTAGAGAAAAGGCTCTGGAAATGAGATCAGGCTGGTAGCCTTGAGGGTGTATTTTCTTTAGAGAAGCAAGGGAAGAAACCATATTTCAAAGAAACACATAAGGTAACTGGGTAGGGGGAAGAATGGAGGCTTCATTTTCTTCCTTGGTCCATTTCAAAACTGCTGAGGTTTGTTAACAGGAAGTTTACTATCATGGAGTCAAACACTGAGGACATCACTTACCAGGCAAACTCTTAGCCCTTGTCTGCCCTGACAATGCACACCCTATTTCTCCAGTACAGTGGCTGCTGGATGTTCCTGGGGTGGCCCATTCACTTACTCGAATGTGTAGGTCCTGGAAGAAGATGAGGAGTGTCTGCCGGATCATCTGGAACTCCCCAGCAGAGAGACTCCCGTATACCTGCCAAAGGCAAAGCAGCAAGAAGCACTTCACTTTCAGAAGTGAGATGAGAAGAGTGCAAAGGCAGGGATAGGCAGACACTCAGGGGAGGGAGCAAGGAGGGCACTCAGGTGCTGGGACAAGAGGGCCAAAACAAGAGTCAGCACTGCTCCCGCAGAGGGACAAATCCGATTATGCTACACTCAGCAGTGCTACACTACATCTCTTCCACTTCTCCACAAGCGCGGAGAGGCTGTTCCCCTAAGATTTAGCAGAACATCCACTGCCAACTCCCTTTCACAAAAGTTGGGAGAAAATGGCTATGCTTTATACCGCTGCTTTTCCAATTTTGAAGGCAACTGTAAGAGGGCATAAGATGGTAACACCTACTGTATTACCCGTTGTGGGTAGACACTTGCAGAGTTTTAGAATTTTCTGGAAGATTGGCAGGCTTTACCCTTCCTCATCCTGTTCTCTCTGTCACGGAATCTGCCTGTTCTTAACAGAGGAATGAGAACAGGTATTTGGGCTGAGAGGTGACTAACTGATAATACTCTTACTTCAGTCAGCTGCCAGAAAGTCTCATCCACTTGATGCAGGATGGCTGGGGAGTCTCGGATGAATTCCTTGATGGCATCTAAATGATTGAAAGTGACCAGCAACACATCCTTGGGACGGGGACACAGCAGTACTTGGTATTTGAAAGCCATAGTCATCAGGTCATAGAGCTGCCAACCCACACAACAAACAAATAGGACAGAAGAACAGATGTCAGAACCTCCAAACAATGAGTCAGTCAAGCATTTCCTGAAAAACAATCTGACCTAACCATATAGCTTGGGTGACCATGTGAGTTATCCAAACCAAGAAACTTTTGAGAGTAAAAGAAGGTAATACTAATTAAGCCAGAACAACAGGTGTAGAGTGGGACATTCCTGGGGAAATTAGGACTTCTGGTCACCTTGGGTATATCGCTGATGGGACACATATGGAACAATACTGGCAGCTGTGAGGTCCTGGACTTAGAGAGAGGAAACCCCTTTGCTGCTGACTTGTATGACCCTGGCCAAGTCTTTTAACCTCTTTGAGCCTGAGTTTTCCCATCTGTAAACAATGCTCCCTTATTTCCCAACCTTGTAGAACTGCTGAGAAGAGTAAATGAGATGATACGTGTGAAAGTGCCAAGTATAAGCTCTACAAACATATAAGGACAATTTAAAATGTGAACAATACTTAATAAGACACAGATAAGCCCCATGTATGGCATGAACAAGGAGGCCTGGTAGCACAGTGGTTAAGAACTCAGCTGCTAACCAAAAGGTCTGTGGTTTGAACCCTCCAGCTGCTCTGCAGGAGAAAGACATGGCAGTCTGCTTCTGTAAAGATTACAGCCTTGGAAACCCCATGGGGAAGTTCTACTCTGTCCTATAGGGTCGCTATGAGTTGGAATTGACTTGATGGCAATGGCTTTTTTGTTTTTATGGCATGACCATCCATGAAAGTTCACAGGAGAGAAACTGGTGAGGACCAAAGTGGTCAAGACAGGCTTTGTGGAAAAAGTGGGCTTGATATGGACCTTGCAGTATTCACAGGGTTCAAACCGGCTGAGGGGAGAGAAAAGGCATTCTAGTTGAGGGGAACAGCATGCGTGAAGGCCTGGAGGCAGCAACGCTATTTCTCTGAGAGAATGAGAACGGCCTGATTACAGAGGACAATTTGTGTTGGGGATAGTGGGAAATAAATTTGGATAAGTGTGGTGAGGTTAGAATATTAAAGGTCTTAGAAAGGCAAAATACTTTAGATTAGATGTGGTAGGAATTAGGGAGCTGCTGAGGTTTTCTAAGCTGACAACATAAAACTGGTGATTAAACAAGACAGTCAACCAGGCAATGATGAGCTGGGAGAGAAGGGAGAGACTGGAGTCAAGGGCATTAGCTAGGATCAGGCTTCTAATAGGTTTGAATGAATGAATGAAAAAATGCTGTTGGAATAATCCAGACTTAAGGCCTGGAATAAAGATGGTGGGAACAAAGGCAAAGAAAGGAAGATCATGTGATATTTAGAAGGAAAAGCTGTCAGTACATGACTGCCTGACTAGATTTAGGGGATGAAGACGAGGGCTGCCCAAAATGACTACAGCATTTTCAGCCTGGTGCCTGGGAGAAGGATAATGCTCCTGATGGAAGCAGGGAAGTCTAGGGGATAGGGAACAGAGGAGCTGGATCAGGAGGGACGATCAGCAGCCTACCTATGAGCAGGTCTGAGGCAGGAGTGAAAATATAAACTACTTCCATCTGAGTGTACCAAGCACATTTATATACATTACCTCATTTGATCCCACTTAATCTTCACAAAAACTCTATGAGGTAGGTGTTATTATCCCAAGTTTAAAAATGAGGAAACTTGCCCAATTTCACATAGCTGGTAAGTGGCAGGGTGAGATTTGAACTCAGACTATCAGATTCTAAAGCACTTGCTAAAACTTTCAACACAATCCCATTTCTCCAATTTGCAGCTTAACGTTTCCACTTAGAAAGTGGCATACAATAGGAGGAGCCTGGTGTGGGGGTGGGGAGAGTGGGTGGATATAGTTAATGAGAAACACAGATTTGAGAGTCCATCATCATTATCAAACATTAAGTGCCTTGTGTATAGGACACTGTTACGAATAAAGGATAAAAACAGGTATAAGATGAAGAAATGAAAGTTCAGAGATATTCAGTAAATTGTTCAGGGTCTCACAGCTAACAACTGAAGACTTGAACCTAGGTAGGTTTCTTTACCTAGAACCCAGGTTTTTGTGTTGTTTTTTTAAAAATTTTTTCCCATACAAAAATTTATACATACATTGTTATGTGACCCTAACTGCTCTCCCCATACTGTGACAGCACACTCCCCCTTTCCACCCCTGATTCCCCATGTCCATTCAGCCAGCTCCTAACCCTCTCTGCCTTCCCATTTCACCTCCGGACAGAAGCTGTCCGTTTAGTCTCTTGTATCTACTTGAGCTAAGAGGCACACTTCTCACGCGTATCACTTTATGTCCCACAGTCCAGTCCAATCCCTGTCGGAAGAGCTGGCCTCGGAAACTGTTTTAGTTCTGGGCTGATAGAGAATCCAGGGGCCATGCTTTCCGGGGTTCCTCCAGTTGCAGTCAGACCGTTAAGCCTTCTTACTAGAATTTGAAGAACCCAGGTTTTTTTAATTCCAAATTCTGGGTCCTTTCTCTACAAGAAACCTCTTAACATTCTTAAACGCAGAGGGATAAGAGCAAGAAGAGCAGAAAAGGTAATTAACATTTACTGAACATCTACTATGTGCCAGGCCTAGGCATGTTACTATATATAGTTGTATCTGTATCTACATATCTATATATATAATATATACATATCATATATGATAAATATTGTATATGTTTTTCACTTTATCCTCCCAACAACCTGATGAAATAGCTATTATATCCCCATTTTATAAATAAAAAACGGAGGCTTGGAGAGCGAATGTAACTTTCCAAAGTTAAGTGCCAGGAGGTGAGAAGGCACAGTTAGAGGCAGTCTGTCTTCCTGAGCTTTGCAGGTACCTGCAAAAGGTGAGCATTTATTCTGCACAGCTAGCATCCACAGTCAGTCCTCATGATTTTTAAAAATTCACATAATGGAGGAACTTGAAAGGAATTATTATTATTATTAACTAAAGTCTATACTTTATTCAGATTTCCCTAGTTTTTACTTACCATCCTTTTTGTGTTCCAGGATCCCATCCAGGATACCACATTACATTTAGCTGTCATGTCTCCTTAGGCTTCTCTTAGCTAAGAGGACATTTTCTCAGACTTTACTTGTCTTTGATAACTTGACAGTTTTGAGGAAAACTGGTCAGATATTTTGTAGTAAGACCCTCAACTGGGATTTATCTGGTGTTATTCTCATCAGAAATGGGGTTATGGGATTTTGGGAGGAAGGCCAAAGAAGTAAAGTACCATTTTCATCCCATCGTATCAGGGTACATGCTACCAGCATGACTCATCACTGCTGACATTGACTTTGATTGCGGCTGAGGTAGTGTTTGTCAGGTTTCTCTATTGTAAAGCTACTGTTTTCCCCTCCTTTCCAAACTGTGCTCTTTGAAAGGAAGTCACTATGTGCAGCCCACCCTCAAGGAGTGGGGCTCCACCTCCATGAGGGCAGAGAATCTATATAAATTATTTGGAATTTTTCCACACAAGAGATTTGTCTATCCTTTACCATTTATTTGGAATTGTTATTTTTAAAATCGGAGTACCCCAATAATTTGTTTCCCAAAGAAACAGGTATATTCATGTTATAAGTAAAGACTGAGCGGTTTTGAATTTGTTTTAAAAATTGCCTGGTTTCCCGTAAAACGATTCCTCACTGCAGAGTGAGATTTGTTAAGAATGAAGCAGAATTAAAATTTTTAGTGCTGAGTGCTTGTACTGGGTTAAGACATGTGCACCTAGTGCTCATAAATATGGGAATGAAAACCAGCACTAAGGCAGGTGGAATGAAATAAACACCAGAGGGGCAGGTGCAGATGACTTCTGAGGTCCTTCCCAACCCTGAAACTTCACGACAACTAATATTTACAAGAGCCTGTTTTTTTGCAAAATATCATTGCATAGGTCATCTCATTTGACTTCAGTCTATGATCACCCACAAAAGGTACAAGAAATGCAAGGAAAAGGGCAGAGGCAGCCATCTACTCACCTTATCCATGCTGGCCTGGTTCAGTCTCATAATGGAGGCATGAGCCAGGCGGTCGTAGACTGTCCTCAGGGCCTTCTTGGAGTAGAGCTCTTGGGGTTTGAACAATTCTTCCATGAACTTCCTATTGAACATGGTGGAGATGATGTCGTTCAGAACTGTAGAGACAAGAGAGAACACAGCTGAGCGAGGTAGTGAAGGAAACTTTACTCAGAAATACCCTGTGTACAGCTCCCTCTATGAGTGGAGGAGATGGGTATATTCAGAGGTGGGATGCTGATGTGTTAGGTGGGATTTGCTTCCTGGGGAGAACACACAGGTGTCCTTGTAGAAAGCAGGGGGGTGAAAGGACTTGATGAGACCATTTCAGGGCAAATATAAAGGATGACAATGTACAAATATGTTATGCTGATAAACCATCTTTACATACATTATCTTATAGGGGAAATGTTTCTTCTTTCTTTTAAAAAGATTCCTACAGCATTTAGATCTCTTCTTAAAACGAGAAACAGCATCAGTCTTTTTTTTTTTAACTAGCAAATCTTTAATATTTTTACTTAAAATTAAATTTTATAAAAATGGGACCAATAATGGTAACTGACTCTTCTTTTACATAACATTTTATGAAAATACAGAAGTCTACCCACTGGTTAGACAATAAAACAGTTTTAATGTTTCTAACAATGTATACTTCACATTAGCACCACCTTAATTTCTACATTTGATCTATAATATTGATATTACACTGTAGTGACATATCTCATACTGTCGCTCAAGTGGGAAAACTCCATCTGGTCAGAAAACAAAAGGTCCTAAGGAGTGTGCATACCAAAGTGTCTATAATTCTAGGTCTGCATTTATTCATTAAGACCAATAAGCAACATCTTGATAAATGGAGAAAATACTGAAGTTGTCAAGGATTTCATTTTACTTGGATCCACAATCAATGCCTATGGAAGCAGCAATCAAGAAATCAAATGACGTATTGCATTAGGCAAATCTGCTGCAAAAGATCTTTTTAAAGTGTTAAAAAGCAAACATGTCACTTTGAGGACTAAGATGCACCTGACCCAAGCCATGGTATTTTCAATTGCCTCATATGCCTGCAAAAGCTGGACAATAAATAAGGAAGACCCAAGAAGAATTGATGCCTTTGAATTATGGTGTTGGTGAAGAATATTGAATATACCTGGACTGCCAGAAGAACGAACAAATCTGTCTTGGAAGAAGTACAGCCAGAATGCTCCTTAGGAGTGAGGATGGCGAGACTTCGTCTCACACATTTTGGACATGTTATCAGGAGGGACTAGTCCCTGGAGAAGGACATCATGCTTGGTAGAGTAAAGGGACAGCAAAAAAGAGGAAGACCCTCAACGAGATGGACTGACACAGTGGCTGCAACAATGGGCTCAAGCATAACAACAACTGTGAGGATGGTGCAGGACTGGGCAGTGTTTCGTTCTGTTGTACACAGGGTCACTATGAGTTGGAACTGACTCAACGGTATCTATCAACAACAACATTTATTCACTCAGAAATTTGGTGCTAGTCAAATCAGTGTCATTAGTTGAAGGCTAGGAAAACCTTCTGGTACAAGAAAGAGGAACAAGTATGTTTGAACACAGCTTAGTCTTAATTAAGCCAGATATACTCTAGCCCACAGGTGAGAGTATATGGATGCTGAAAGTATACATTCATAGTAATTAAAATTTGAAAGAAACCTGAATTATTTAAAATAATTATATAAAAAAAAACCATTATTGAACACAGGTGATTATTATGAAAGGTACAAACTCCTTTCTCTTGCCTAACACAAGGGATGTGCCAGGTGATTGGCTGTGGCCATCTATCTTAGAGAGTGAAGGCAAGGGAGAGCAGTGAGGTTATTATCTCAGGCACCTTCTCTATCTATCTGTAAGTAATTGAAAGAAGAACCCTGAGGGCGCAGGCCAGTATTTTAAAGCATTTATGAGGGGAGAGGGAGCTGGCTGTACTTAATTTGTAAATGGAAGGGCCAGATAGGGAAAGAGAGAGGGAGGGGAAGAGAGAGAAACATTTTTTCCCCCACCAACACAAAAGAACAATTTGTGATTCCTTATGGAAGTGCTGAATTCATTCTTGATCTTTGGATTTTACTCTAGACTCCGTCCTATTATGTGGTGATGGAAAACCAAATCCATTACTGACACAGGGCTTCCCTCATATCTGACAACTTCAAGTCACTGCAGCTTACCTTTAATGTGCGTTAACATTTCCCCAGTGTGGACAGCTTGGAGACAGTTAACTCTTCGTGCTTGCCTCATGCATAGCCTTTCCCTTCAACCTAAACAAGTAAGAGCCTATGATAACTGGGCTTTCTAATGTTTTTCTTACCAGAGACTATATAAAATGCAGAATTTTCAAGGAACTAGGTACAATTAAAAAGCCACACATCAGGGCCTCACAAGAGTGAATATGAAGAATTTTCCACAGATTTATGTAGGCCAGGGAGGAGTGCCAAATCAGGGCTGATGTTAAAGTCAGCCCTGATTATGTTAACGCTTATAAATAGGTACCATTCACCTATGGGCTAAGTCATTTCTCTAGTGTCTTTGAGTTCTCAGCAGCATTTAGAAAAATAGCTTAGACCCAAACAAATCAGGAGTAAACGAAAAAAAAGTCCCAAGGTGATTGTTAGGCGCTCTGGCAAAGTAAAAGCAAAATGAAGCCTTTCCCCCTGGGAAGTGAATAAGCTATATGTCATCGTGGCTCCTTGCAGAAGAATGTTCAGAAAGTTCACCTGTTGAGAAAGGAGTTGGGCCAGACTGTGACACAAATGCCCCCAAAGAGGAAATGGCAGTTTTACGTTGGGCCTTGGCACCCGGGGCTCCCACTTCCCACTTAATTCTTTGGAAAGAATATGGGGGCACAAATTTGCATGCCTTCACCTCACAATTTACTTCACATACCCCTTGGTTGAGGTGGGCCTACTGTGCACCACAGGTAGAAAGAAGAAGGAGATGTTATCCTTATTTAAGTTAAACCTGAGAAATATCATAGCTTTAGCCAAACCCATTAATCTGTTCTGGTGTTAGTTTTCGAAACTCAAATGAGCTTTGCATAATTTTTATAGGGCAGGAATGTACTAGGAGCCAGATTTCATCAGAGAGTGACTAAGGCAGGGGAGGAAAGTGGTTTTTCATGGGCTGCATCAGAAGGGTTGCTAACTACCTGCATTCTCAACACATCAGGCTTCTAGTCCCAAATTCAGATTAGGAGGTCAGTTTCTGTTCATTATTTCTAAATGCTTAAGTTAAAAACAAATTCCAGCAATTCAAATACATATACAAAAACCCTTCAAAATCCATACTTCATGCCTGAAATTCTGCCATGAGTCAAGAAGTGGGCCAAAAATTGCTCAAAAGATGGTTGTGAAATATCATAAAAGTGTATCAAGCACTTTGATTGGGCTTTCTTTGAGCCTGGCCCGATTATCTGAAGGGAAAGCAATTGAATTATTACAATTACCTCTGCTCAAAATTCACTTACTTATGAGGACACGCATTTTGGAGCCAAGGCTAAAAGAGAAAAGCTGGGAAACTCTCCTGGATAGCTACCATGGTTTGAATTCCTACTATGTTCCAGGCACTGGGCTCAGAACTTTACATACATTACCTCACTTAAACTCCAAGACAACTCTGGATTATCAGCCTCATTCTATTGAGGAAGAAAGCTCTTAGCGGAGTTAAAGTCCAAGGTCATAGAGCTAGTGGTGGAGTAGAAATAAGAATGAAGTCTGTTTGATTCTAATGCCTGTTCTCTTAAATATATGTTATCTCCCCAGCATACTTGGCCTGGTGAGGGCATTTAAAATATTGACAAGGACACCTGATGATATACATAACCACACCCAAATGGCAAATGATGGAAGCTACCTGTGACATTTAAAGGCTGAGGAAGGCTAAGGTTTTATTCTGAGGAGTGAGCAACGTTTTCAGGTTTGCTGCTAGCTTTCAGGCCAGATACATGCCTAACTGAGATATATGTGAGGGGGAAACTCAAGGTTTGGCATGATATGGCCATACTGCATGCATGTTATCATGCCTTCTGCCCACAGTCCTGGCAGCCATGCAGCCACATGCTTCTGTTTCTCCCAGTTGCTCAATAGATACCTCTGTATGCTAAGGAGAACAGCTCAGAGAGGGGCACTCCTATTGAAGCACAATTCTTTGGTTACATGATACTACAACGAAATGGCTTTAAGGACTACCAATTAGGACAACCCACCCAGAAGTGTAGAACTGCCCCAGCTGTCCCTGTAAAGCTTGGAACTGATAAAAAGAGACAGATCCCTCAGGTACTGTGTGGCCCCTTTGCCAAGGTTTGCTTGGTATTCATCTTACACATGGTGTTTCTTTCTCATAGGCAACAGATTCAAATGTATAACCAGTGTCTCAGCTGAAGACAAATTCATGCCTATATTCTTTCTTTAAAATATCTGGAGTGGTCACACTTTATGCCCCATTGATAATGGACCGAGTGAACCTGTGGATGCAGACTGAATACATGCAGCTAAGAGATAGCATACCTCGTTTTCTGTCCACCTCTGTCCATTCATCTACATGAAGCATATAAAAAGAAAATACCAGTTCATAAAGCAAGAACATTACTTACAAGGAGGCTTTAAAAAATACCCATTCCAATTATCTGGTCTATGAAGCTTTATTTTTCATGTTTGCATTTAATGTCTAATGCAAACCCTCTGCCTTCCATTTGATACATTTAAAAGGATGATGGATAAACAACAAGCTCCAAAAAATGCCCTAGAGAGGCTATGTCTTATACAGAGTGGCCTAGGAGGAGAGGGAACTCAGGAGGGCTAGCTACCCTGGGGTCCATCTTTAAAGGCTTAAGAACTCATGCTCTAATGCTAGGAGAATACACGTCATTCAAAACAAGGCTTGTAAAAACACTGACCTCCGAGAGGAAGAATAATTCAAAGAACAGGTTGGGAAAAGGAGTTCCTTTTTGTACAACCTGACTTTTCATTAATGAAAGATTTCCCTTTCTAGAGTACAGATGGAACTACTCAAATCAGAAACTTGATATGTGAATTAAAAGGAAAAAAAGTCAGTATTTGTTTCTGCTTTACTTTTTAGATACAGATGTGTGATTTCCATGTTGAAAGAGGGAAGTAACAATGGGATCACTGTAAAGAAAGTTCCTGAGGACAAAGTCCGGAAGATGCTGAGAGATCAAATAAAGAAAAATACACTTGGCTACGGCTAGAGAAGTCTGTGAGAATGGAGACTTTATGGGTTGAGGCCTAGCTCTACCACTTACTAGCTAGCTATATAACATTGAATAACTTGCTTGACCTCTTTAAGGTCTCCATTTCTTTATCTGTAAAATGGGGATCATAATAGCACCTCCTCCACTGGATTATTGTGGGGATGAAATGAATAATACACATTCAGCACTTAGCTGGCTATTTTTCTAGTCCCACTTTCTGTGCTGAAGTATGTTAGACATCACCCACGGTGACATCACAATGGATAAAAGATGACTTTGTTTTTTACTTTAAATTTTTGAGAGATTTCAATTTAGAAAAACCATCCCTAGATAAACAGTTTTACACATACTACATTTTAAAAAACATTTGTAATTACTGATCTCTTTTGGAAACATTTGCCACTAGGTTGTTTCAGAGGTGATTTCTGAAGTTATAACTGGAGCATACACATGCCTTCAACACACAATCCCAACAGCTGGGAAGAGACCATTCTGACGGCACACCAGGTGCCATGCCTTAACTAGGCACAAAGGGTTTCCATTTGCGAGGTCAGACTCCTCTGGGAAAATTTCCTTTCTCCCACAAATTGTTGTTAGCTGTCAAGCTGGCCCTGACTCACGGTGACCCCATGCACAATGGGATTGAACCATTGTGATCCATACAGTTTTCACTGGCTGATTTTTCAGAAGTAGATCATCAGGACTTTTTTCCTAGTCTATCTTAGTCTGGAAGCTCTGCTGAAACCTATTTAGCATCATAGTACCACATAAGCCTCCGCTGACAGATGGGTGGTGCCTGTGCATAAGGTGCATCAGCCAGGAATTGAACCTGGGTCCCTCGCATAGGACGTGAGACTTCTACCACTGAACCACCACTTCCCCGTCTCCCACAAGAGTCACAAGCTTCTGGAGAGAAAATATTTGGGAAGCAGAACCAAGAGTCTGGCCTTCTTAAAGCAGATACTGGTTTCTCTGGCATACTGTCTGTATCTTCTGTCTTTCTGGGACATTTATTTAGCAGGCCGTCTTCATAAGTCTGGTAGGAGACATGGAGTTTCCACTGCGACCCTCTTGAAGGTGTGTTTGGGAATAGTGCTGCTGCAAGGGGCTCATCTCTAAGGGGCAGTGTGCTACCTGAGGGACAGTGAGCTGCCTGCTATTGACAAAAAGGAGCTGGCAAATGCATGCCCAGGGGTACCGAGTCACTCCTGCAGGCAATGACGCCCAGCTCCAGCAGAGGTCTCTGCAGTGCTGTGTGCTCCCAGCCCTTCCCTCCAGAGGGGAAGTAAATGATACCCAGTTTCTCTATTATTTCTCCAGATGACTTGTTTGTGACAATTCCACATTAGTTATATTCTGAATGGGAGTCAGGCCCAAGGGTATCCAGAGATGGCTGTTAAATTGGAATCAGAAAAATAAAAACAGAACCTAACCGCCATTTGGTTGCTCAGTACTACACTGTGATGTGAATGTCTTGGAAAAAATCACTTAGCGGCTCCATGCCTCAGTGTCCCCTTCTGTAAAATCAAGAATTTAAACAAAATGTAATAGGGAAATTTTTTATGAGTATTTTTAAGATGATGGAAGTGAGGCAAAGGCAGTTTTTATTATTCTCGCTATTGCTTAAAACGTGGGTCAAAATTCAATATGCAACACTCCAAAGTTGCCCCATAGAGAGAGCACTTCCTTTCTATTGAATGCTAAACTAGAGGCTGCATTGTAGGGGAAAACTGCATTGGCCTTGTGGGACCAGGGATGGCCTCCAGGAGACCAATTAGTTGTGTAAGATAATGAAAACATCTAGAAGAAATACGATTTCCATTCTAAGCTTCAGCAAAGGACTAGCTTACTGTGCCTCATGTTTTATAGGCCTCTGTGTACAAACACCTGTCACAGTGGCTTCTGGTCCTGCAGCCACACCAACTCTAAATGCTGGTAGAGACAAGCGTCTCTTAAGTTTTTGAATACCACACTCTCTACCATGCTTTCTCACGCTACGAATCCCCATCAGCCAACTACTTTTTCCCATTTATTTTATAAAATCAGTGGGTATATTGGATATTTTTTTTCAAATTCCTCCCACTCCTGATCTACCAACCCCCACAAACCCAAAGATTCTGATACAGTCCCCCAGGTAAGGCAGTATACAGCAATGGTTAAGAGCATACTGGGTAAGAGTATGGGTTCTGGAGTCCAACCGCCTGGGTTCATATCCTCTACTCCTCCTCTTACCAGCTACGTAACCTTGGGCAAATTAACCTTAGTTTCCCCACCTGTAAAATGGGGATAGTAATATTAACTACCTGGCTGGATTGTTGTGGGGATTAAAGTGTTTAGGAGTCCTTGGCATAGTAAATGCTTAATAAATGTTTGTTGCTGTCGTCATTAGGAAGATATGACAGGTTTAGTCAGTTACTGGACTAGACTGATCAAAAGCCTTGCCTCCGGGGAATAACTACTCAGAAGGGCATCTCACATGGTATCTAACACTCAACCCAAAACTACGGAATGAATGAGTACGTGAATATGAGTTCACACTAAAGATGTATGAAAATCCCTAAAGCTGAATCTAGCAAAACCAGAAGAAAGCCTATAGTTCCTGAAGACAAAGGAAGCTGGTCCCCTAGAATTCACCAGGCCTTGCCC